GCCTTTAGTGAGTCTTGGGGACAGGAGACCCATGGGCCTGGAGGTGCTACTGACAAAGCTTCCCCGTTATTAGTCTGGGTGTCTGTCTGTCCATCTGTGTGTCTGTATGTCTGTGTGTCTGGGACCAGTGATCGAACAAAGGGTCTCACCTGTGCAAAGCTGGCATGCTGTGCCCCAGGTCAATCTGACGAGGCAGGCAGGACCAAGGACAGGGCCTGAGGCTCATCTGCAAAGGCCCCAGCCTGCTTGCCCTGAAGGCAGAGGGATTGTCTTCAGTCAGGGTAGGGGAGTGGGGTGGGGGTGGGGGACTCCCTGTCCTAACCACCGGCCCCACGTTTCTCCATCCTGGCCCAGGCCCCTGGGTTCCGGAGAGATGGGCTGACTGGACGGATGCAATTCTTCCCTGGAGAAAACGACGGCGTTCCAGCCCCCAGTCGTAGCCCCCCTACACGCCCGCCCCCCCCCCGGGAGTGTCACTTCTCTTTTGAGCACAAATTTGGTCATCATTCAGATGTGTCACCCTGTACAGACGAGTCATCAGCCTTTTTTAAGCCTGTTCCTTGATCTGTAAGATCAGGCTAGCGCAGCCCAGCCCGGGTGCTGAGGGAACACATGAGAGGCCACAGAGCAGGCTCGGAGCTCTGAGAAACCGCAGCCAGACAGAGCAGCAGCCTCCTGGGCTGCCCAGCAAGTGGGCGTGAATCCGGGACTGGAAACCGCGCTTCCCGCTGACCAGTTTCCTTGCAGAGATAACACAATGGGCAGCCTGGGAGCTGCCAGAGAAGGGGCTCTCCCCCGGAGAAGTCACTGGCGGAGGGGCTTCCTGGCCGTCCCCAGGAGGATCAGGCTGGACCTGACTTGGTCCCTGGTGGTGGCCTCCACGGACACAGCCCACTCCAGCTGCCCTGCGGGGACGTGAGGGACCCGTGTGGAGAGAATGTAGCGGGAGAAATCAGGTGCAGGCTTAAAAGCAAAACTCCTATTCCTGGGGACAGGACCCTCGACTGATCTTGGGTCTTGATTCAAAGGGGCACTGTACCAGCTCATGCCACCAGAAAAGTCCAGAGGAAAGAAGGCTTCAGGCATCGCTGGATTCGGGCGCTGTTGAGAGTTCGCAGGAACCCGTGGGCTTCCAGCTCTCTGCTCTGCCCTTGCTCACCTGCTAGGGAGCCTATCATCAATGCCTAGGACTGTGACTGACACACCACTCACCTGGCTCCAGGGTGGGGGACGCTGGGACAGAGGAGACTGGAGCCCCATTAGCTGGGAGGAGAGGCTGGTCCTGCAGTCCTATTCCCCACCCCACGCAACCCTGCTGTCAGCCACCCTCATCTCTAAGCTACAGGCTCTTTTCCTTGTTCATAGGGGTCACACCCCCTGTTTGGGGGCCACTGGGGCTGGACCGACACTGAGGGATCCGATTGTCACAGATCACAGCAGAGCTCAGTTTATCTTTGCAACTGACAGTCATACCCACGTCCACACCAGCTGCCCCACTCACATCTCCATAAGCAAGGCCTCAGGGTTACCACTTTCCCTCAACACCCACTGACTGATTTTGTTAAGCAAGGACCATGCCCAGCAGGGCACAGCGGGGCGTGAGCGGCCAGGGGTGGGACTCAGGATCTGGTATGTGCCAGGGAAGAGTTATATCTCCTGATGCAGCACATTCTCTGTCTTTCATTCTCTGCAATTTTGGGGCAGGAGTTGGGGCCACACCTGGTGGTACTCAGGGGCTCTGCCCAGGCAGTGCTGGAATTTACTCCCAGTGGTGCTCGGGGAAACATACAGTGCTGGGGTTGGGACCCAGGGCACCTCAGAAAAAACTCAGCCCCCTGAGCATCTCCCCAGTATGGAGTCCGCCAGGCAGACACCCCAAAGGCGCCTCACACAGAGATTCATAGAATGGTCTGGCTTAGCCACTCTGGATCTAGAAGTGGTCTGGGGTCTCCCAAAGCCCTTGGTGGGAGGTGCTGTGACCCCGCCAGCATGGACTGTCCCCTGCTGTCCCTGTCCCTGATGCTCCCCACCCCCACGCCCCAAGGCCAACCTGACACTTTGGGCCCTGCCACACACCACGGCTTCTTCCTCACGGTCCATTTTCCCGAGAAACCCCCTTGTCCATGCGGCTGGACCATCAGGCTGGACCTGACTTGGTCCCTGGTGGTGGCCTCCACAGACACAGCCCATTCCAGCTGCCCTGTGGGGACGTGAAGGACCCGTCCATCTCATCTCCTCTAGGGCTAAGTGACCCAGAGCCAGGGCCGATGACAGAGGGGCCAGGCAGGGAAGACAGGGAGCCCATGGCCACACACTCGCAGGGGAGAATGCACGGCAAGGAGGCTGGCACACAAGAACACAAGTTCTGCTCGGATGCTAGAAGCCAGAGAACAACCAAAGGAAGCAGCCTCAGCCCCCCGCCCTCAAACATACTTCCCCTTCCTCACACCCGGAGCGACTGTTTCGGTTCCAGTTTTAATTCCAGTGAAGCAGCAGGGAAGAAGGGGAAGTAGGAAAAGAGAAGAGAAATCAGATTTCCTGCCCTCCGCCCGCGCTGGCCCGGGTTGTTGGCTCTCATCGCCAGCCTGTGCCACAGCAGGTGAAACCGGAACTCTGCCAGGCGGGGCCCTGCCTGCCGTCCCCTGGGTGCCAGCAGATGCCCAGCTCCTGGGAGCGCCCCTGCTCCTGCTTCCTCGCTGCCTGAGGCCTGCCCGTCGGTCTGATGCGTCCGGGGACAGAAGCGGGGGCTCGATCCCCCACACCCGGTGCCCTGGACACATGACGAGCAGCAGGTCTGGGGGTTTCCAGGTCCTGTTTCCCAGCAAGCCAGCAACCGCAGGCCGGGAGACCTCTGCCCACGTCCAGCCCAGTCTGGGCTGGTTCCTGGCTGGCTGTGAGTCAGGCTTCCAGCTCCTGCCCAGCGTCTCATCCTTTCCAGCCGCCGGGCAAGGGGGTGAGGCTGATACTCCCCTGCGCGGGTCCCAAGAGCACAGGTTCCTCAGGGAGGCTGGTTCGGCTAGTCCTTCCTTCCCTCTGAATGCATAAGCTGACCCCACGGTTGGTGCCTGACCGGACAGAAGCACCTGGGCAGGGGGGTGCAACCTCTTTGTGGGGAGGGACTTCGAGGGATTCCGGGAGCGGGTCTGAGATGGAAGTGGACAGTGGGTGCCATGTCCCTGGTGACGCTCTGCCTCCGGGCTCAGCACTACCGTCTTACCTCGCCAGAGCTGACCAGAGGAGGGTCTGAGAACAATTGCGAGAGTTTATCTATGAGTAAGGAGAAGTTGGGGCGAGTGGGACCCTGTCCCCGGATTTATCAGGGCAGCCGCAGAGCAGAGGGGAGGCTGTGGAGGGTAGAGCCGCTCTGGGCTGGGCTCGGGGCTGGGCGTGGGCGCCCTCTCCTGGCCTCGGGACTCAGTGCAGGGAAGACACTCACTGAACGCAGGCCTGGGGACCACAGGCGTGAATTTGGGGAGTACAAAGGTCACCTCTGGGCTGCTGGGCCAATGGCCAGACCCGTGTGGATCAGACCAGGAGGGCCTGGCCCTTAGCTGGCTAGGGGACCCCCCCCTCAAGCACACACCAGACATGCAAGTTGAGTGCAACCAACAAAACGTTCACTGGTGTTCAAACATGGTTATCTCAGCTACAGACCACAGAAAAAGTGCTACAGACTTTTGGCCCCAGCCCACCAGAGTCCGATTGCCCGGCATCACATAGGTTCCCCAAGCACTGCCAGGAGTGATTCCTGAGTGCAGAGCCAGGAATGGCCCCTGATCCTCACCAGGCGGGGCTCCCCGAATCAGAACAAAACAGCAAACCAGATTGTTGGCCTTGGTGACTCTGCCACCTCCCTCCCCTTCAAAAGGACTTGGGGCGAGCTCAGTGCAGCTCAGTGACTGCACCTTACAGTAAGAAGGGCCCCCCTTCCCCACCATCTGGCTGAGAAACTTGAGAAGCTGCAGACCATTTGCCCTAGAAGGGTCAAAGAAGGACTCAGGGGGGCTGGAGCGATAGCACAGCAGGTAGGATGTTTGCCTTGCATGCAGCCGACCCGGGTTCGATACCCAGCATCCCATATGGTCCCCCGAGCACCGCCAGGAGTAATTCCTGAGTGCAGAGCCAGGAGTAACCACTGTACATTGCCAGGTGTGACCCAAAAAGACAAAAAAAGCCCAAGACCCAGGGTACTGTTTCTACCCTGCACCGCCCTGTCCCAGACCCCAGCCCCAGTATCCCATCCTCCTATCCCCACTGCTCTTGGGCCCCACCTCCTGGTCTCCTGACAGGCCGCAGAGCTTCTCAGGGTCTTCCCGTAGCCCCCGAGACCCTTCCCAGGGACTCTGGTCTGTTGTGTGCAGGAAGAAGGAGCAGTGACTGCTAACCTGGGGTACAGATGGGCAGGGGCTCCATGCACACATGTGGAGGACAGGGCTGGTGGTGAGAGGGAGACATGGGAAATGAAAGCATCAGTGTACGGTCAGAGGGCAGGACGGAGGTCAGTGGGGGAGTGGACGAGGGCAGAACAGAAGAAGGAATGAGGGGAGGGAGAGACAGCTTGAGCTCGGCAGTCATGGTGACAAAGGCTGGCCAGGCCCCAGCATGCCCACTGGACCCAGGAGAAGACTGGGAGGAGGGGCTTGGGTTCTGGACTGCTTCTTGACCCGACAACTCAGAACCTCCCCGCCTGCTCCCTCTCCCTCTCCCTCTCCCTCGGGCGGCGGGGGGGGGGGGGGGGGGGGAGAGACGCAGGGCCTCTGCTGGGGATGCTCAGCCTGGGAGGCCCACAACACAGTGCTCACTCAGCTCACTCACAGCCCTTCCGTTCCCGTGAGGGAGGAGAGTTCCAGGAAGCGCTTCTCTCCGCCTCCCGGTTCCTCTGGGCCTGGTTCCCGCCAGGCCGTGCTATTGGGGGTGGCAGGGAAGGGGGTGGCCCCCGAAGGGGCTATTTCAGTCCAAGACGGCCCTGCCAGGAAGCAGAGGAAGCTGGCCGCCATCCTGAGGGGCTGCAGTCCCTGCTGAGGGAAGGAGACTGGGGACCCTACGCCTGGCCGTCTCTCGCCCCACCACCTGGGGCCACCGGGGTGCTTCAGGGACAGGAAGCTACATGTGAGTGTTGGCGCATCTCGGGGCCATCAGCTGCGGGTGCGACAGGGAGCAGGGGGGCGCGGACAGGACACCAAGAGTTGGAACTCGGGGTCAGCAGGCTGCATGCAACCAATACAGACTTAAAGGAGGTTCACAGACTTGGGTGGTGCAGGCTCGGGAGTCTTCTCCATCAGTTGGTGAGAAGGAAAGGAGGGGAAGGGGCTGGGAGATAGCACGGCAAGCTGGAAGGTCCCAGGTTCAATTCCCCTGCTACTGTGTGGTCCTCGGAGCACTGCTGCAAGTGGCCCCCCACCAACCCCAGCACTGAGCCAGCCTGAATACCACTGGGAGTGGCCCCAAGACTAAAAAAATAATGAGAGACTGGAGCAATAGCACAGCGGGTAGGGCGGTTGCCTTGCACGCGGCGAACCCGGGTTCGATTCCCAGCATCCCATATGGTCCCCTGAGCACCGCCAGGGGCTAATTCCTGAGTGCAAAGCCAGGAGTAACCCCTGTGCGTTGCCAGGTGTGACCACCCCCCCAAAAGAAAGCCAAAAAATGAGAATTTATAATCAGAATGAAAATATGAATGAAAATTAAAGAAAGTGAAGAGGGCCGGCAAGACAGTCTGGACTTAAGGCGCTCTCCTGGTGTGTGGCCGTCCCAGGTTGGATTCCCGGCACTGAGGGTCCCACGGGCACCTCCAGAAGCATAGAGCCAGAAGTAAGCCCTGAGCAACACCTGAAGTGGTTCTAAAAACAAAAGTCAAAAAAAAAAAAAAAAAAAACAGAAAATGGAGGGGCTGGAGCAATAGCACAGCGGTGTTTGCCTTGCACACGGCTGACTTGATTCCCAGCATCCTATATGGTCCCCTGAGCACCACCAGGAGTAATTCCTGAGTGCAGAGCCAGGAGTAACCCCTGTGCATTGCCGGGTGTGACCCAAAAGGAAAAAAAAATTGGAAAAGGGTGACCGGACGCTGAGGAGCCTGGGTTCAGCCGTCCATAAGTTGGTGGCAGGCGCTTCGTGTGACAGCAGTGGGCGGGGATGGCTAAGACGGTGGCTGGGAGGCGCGTCTGTCTCAGGACAGGGGAGAGCCCAGAGGCCTTGAGCAAGGCTGGAAGGGTAGCTGTCCAAGGGCAGGACGGGTGCTTGGGCTTTTCTCCAAAGGGCTGAGGGACTTGGGGAAGGGTGTTGCCAGAGCTGTCTGCAAGAACAGAGCTGGGGTCCGGAAAGAGGCTGACGGCCTAGCCAGCCCAAGAGCTGGAGAGACCGTAGGGCTGGCGGGCAGTGCTGTGGAGACCTCGCTGCCCTCTGCAGCAATGCTGAGTGGGCAAGGGAGGGAGCCCGGGGCACAGGCGTTGGCAGGTTGGCCCTGCTCCCCCATCTTCTGCCTGTGCCTAAGAGGACAGGTCCCCTAGGGCATCCCCCGCCTCGGGGACAGCGGGGACTCCCAAGGAGGGCTCTTCCCTTCCCAGCCTCCTCCTTGCCCTGGCCCTCCATCCAAGCTGGCGGGAGCTCCCTTAGACCTACCTCCTTCCTCCCCTGGAACCCCCCTAGGGCCCTCGCACCCTCTGCACCCATGGGAACCCCTCTCAGCCACCAAGGTCCTGCTTCCTCCTTGCTCCTCCTCTGAAAAGTCTCTGATCTTTTAGAGTCTCCTCCATGAGGCTCATGTGGGTAGAAGGACGTGCAGGCATCCGCGCATATATGTACATAGGTGGCTTACATACAATTTTCTCGGGCACGTGTGTCTGCCATGCCGCCAGCTTCCGACAGACAGCGAGCCCTCAGTGTGAGAGAGTGGGGTGCACCCGTGAAAACAGTTTTCTGGCTACGTTGGGGGTCCTGCTGTGCTTCCTCTTCTCTCCCTGCTCCCCATGCCTAACTGTCCAGCTGTGCACCCTGCGCTCTAGCCCAGGGGTTGAGCCCCCCCCCCCACCTCCCGCACAATCTCTGACTCTGGTTCAACCTGATGCAACCAGGGACTGAACCCAGGTCAGGCTCACGCAAGCCAAGCAGCTTACCCATGGGACTCTCCCTTGCCTGTCTGTATGTCTCCTTCCAGGAGTCTTTAACTCTTCTTCCCATTTTTTTTTAATTAAATCACTGTGAGATACATAGTTGAAAAAATGTTCCGGGTTGGGTCTCTATGAGTAAGTCTCTGTGTCATACAATGTTTCAAAACCCATCCCTTCCCCAGTGCACATTTCCTGATGCCCCCAGTTTTCCTCCCACAAGCCGCCCCCAACCCCAGTTTGCCCTCCCCCCCTCTCCTCCTCCTCCTCCTCCTCCTCCTCCTCCTCCTCTTCCTCTTCTTCTTTTCTTCTTCTTCTCCTTCTCCTCCTCCTCTTCTTCTTCTTCTTCTTCTTCTTCTTCTTCTTCTTCTTCTTCTTCTTCTTCTTCTTCTTCTTCTTCTTCTTCCTCTTCCTCCTCCTCCTCCTCCTCCTCCTCCTCCTCCTCCTCTCTTCCACTTTTTTGGATGGGGTTGTTTGGATTTGTTGCTATTGTCACATTTTGCTGGTGCTTTATAAACTCGGATATTGCTTTTTGTTGGATGTATCATGAGTAAATATTTTTTTTCTCCCCGTTCGTGGAGCGTCTGTTTATTTTAGCCATCAGTTCTTTCTCCGTGTAGAAGTGTCTTCACTTGCTATAGTCCTATTTGTTTGTTTGTTTGTTTGTTTTAATTTTTATTAATGAAACACCATGAGGTACAGTTGTAGACTTACAAATTTTTGTGCTTGGGTTTCAATTATACAGTGATCGAGTGCCCATCCCTCCACCAGTGCCCATTTTCCACCACCACGGATCCCAGTACCCCTCCCACCCCCCATCTCCCGCTATAGTCCAATTTGTTTGCTTTCGCTCCTGTTTGCTTGACCGATGGCATCGAATCACTGAAGATGCCTCTACAGCAGTGTTTCTCAGCCTCTCTCTATGTCTTCTTCCAACCTTGATTCCTTCCTATTGTCACCTCCACCCCATCCCTGGCCCCATAGTCTCATGCCATGGCACCTTCTTCTTCGGTTTTCATTTGCAACACCTTGGAATATCCTAGGGGCTTACCAGTGGCCATCTGGTCCCAACTGAGAAATGTCTGTAGAGTTCTGCCTGTCTCCTTCGATGTACTTTATGGACTTGGATCTATTATCAAGGTCTTTAATCCATTTTGAATTAATTTTTGTCTGGTGTAAGTTAAGAATCCTATATATATAATATTATATATATATATGGTATGGGCTGGAGCGATAGCACAGCGGGTAGGGCGTCTGCCTTGCACGCAGCCAACATGGCCGACCCGAGTTCGATTCCTCCGCCCCTCTCGGAGAGCCCGGCAAGCTACCGAGAGTATTCGATATGCCAGACACAGTAACAACAAAGTCTCCAATGGAGACGTTACTGGGCCCGCTCGAGCAAATCGACGATCAACGGGAGGGCCTTTATCTTTAATATATCTTTATGTGCCTGATCTATCTAATCTATACCTGTTGGCCTCTCTTTTTTACAGGTAGTATCTTCTATTTTGTAAAACACATTTAGTAGCAATACTATTACCCGCTGGAGCGATAGCACAGCGGGTAGGGCGTTCGCCTTACAAGCGGCCAACATGGCCGACCCGAGTTCGATTCCTCCGCCCCTCTCGGAGAGCCCGGCAAGCTGCCGAGAGTATTCGATATGCCAGACACAGTAACAACAAAGTCTCCAATGGAGACGTTACTGGGCCCGCTCGAGCAAATCGACGATCAACGGGAGGGCCTTTACCTTTACTATATATATATATATATATATATATATATATATACATATTGCATGTGGCTAACCGATCTTCCCAACACCATTTGTTAAAGAAGCTTCCCTTGCTCTGTTACACACCTAGTTCCTTCGTCAAATATTAGCAATTTAAATCCCCGAAAGTCTGTCTCTCGGATCTCAATTCTATTCCATTGGTCTTCGAGTCTGCCCTTTTTTTTCTGTTTTTGTTTCAAAGCACCCGGTGGTGCTCGGGGCTTACTTAACTCTGTGCTCAGGGATCACCCCTGGCAGTGATCAGGGGACATAGGGGAAGCTGGACATTAAACCCGGGTTGGCCACTTGCAAGGCAAATACGCTATCTGCTGTATTCTCTTTGGCTATTATTTGAGAGTCTGCTATTATTTCAATGCCATACAGTTTTGATGATTGTATGTAGTTTTCTGTAGTATGATGCAAAGTTGGAGAAAGACAAGCCTTTTCCTCCTCTTTTTTTCTTCTCCTCCTCCTCCTCCTTCTCCTCTCCTTCCTCTTCTCCTTTATTATCTTATTCTTATTCTTCCTCCTCCTCCTCTTCTCCTTCCTTCCTCCTACTCCTCCTCATCCTTCTTCTTGCTGTGCTCTGGGCTTATTCCTGGCCCTGCACTCAGGAATCAGTCCTCGTGAGCTCAGGGGACTATATAAGACCATATGGGGTGCTGCATATTAAACTTGGGTCAGCCACATGCAAGGCAAATACTCTACCCGCTGTACTCTCTCTTCAACCCCATCCCATCTTCTTTTTTCTTTTTTTCTTTTTGGGTCACACCTGGCAATGCACAGGAGTTACTCCTGGCTCATGCACTCAGGATTACTCCTGGCAGTGCTTGGGGGACCATATGGGATGCTGGGAATCAAATCTGGGTTGGCCATGTGCAAAGCAACTGACCTACCCGCTGTGTTATCACTCCAGCCCCCTCATCTTCTTTTTTCTAGGATGACTTTAGCTATCCAGGATTCTTATCACTCATGATAAATTCTATTGGTCCATGTCCTTTAAAAATGCTACAAGAGGGCTGTAGCAGTAGCACAGCGGGTAGGGCATTTGCCTTGCACATGGCTGACCTGGCCGACCTGGCCGACCCGGGTTTGATTCCTCTGCCCCTCTCAGAGAGCCCGGCAAGCTACTGAGAGTATCTTGCCTGCACGGCAAAGCCTGGCAAGCTCCCCGTGATGTATTTGATATGCCAAACACAGTAACAAGTGTCACAATGGAGATGATACTGGGCCCGCTCGAGCAAATCGATGAACAACGGGAGGACAGTGACAGTGTCAGTGACTTTAACTATCCAGGATTCCTATCACTCATGAAAAATTGTATTGGTCCATGTCCTAAAAAATGCTACAAGAGGACATAGAAAGATTGCATTCATCTGGGGAACATAAAGTAACAAAAGAGAAGACTAACACCCAAGGGTGGCCGAGATAAGTACCAGGAGGTTTACTCCATGGCTTAGAGGCCAGCCGCACATGCTGGGGGAAAAGGCACCTCAGATAGAGAAGGGAGCACCAAATAAAGGGTGTTGGGAGGCTCCTCCCAGGATGGGAGATGCATGCTGAAAGTAGACTGTAGACCCAACATGATTGCCACTCAATGCCTCTTTTGCAAACCACAGCACCCAAAAGGAGAGAGAGAACAAAAGGGAATTCCCTGCCACAGAGATGGGGTGGGATGGGGGGATGGGGAGATGGGGGGGGTGGGAGGAATACTGGGATCAGTGGTGGTGGAGAATGGGCACTGGTGGAAGGATGGGTACTCGATCATTATATAACTGAAACCCAAGCACAAAAATTTGTAAGTCTACAACTGTACCTCATGGTGTTCATTATAAATAAATAATTAAAAATAAAAATGCTACAAGAGGGCTGGAGCGATAGCACAGCGGTAGGGCGTTTGCCTTGCACGCGGCCAACCCAGGTTTGATTCCCAGCATCCCATGTGGTCCCCTGAGCACCATCGGGGATAATTCCTGAGTGCAGAGCCAGGAGTAACCTCTGTGCATTGCCGGGTGTGACCCAAAAAGCAAAAAAAAAAAAAAATGCTACAAGAGTAGTGGGAGAGCAAATGTACAGTGGGTAGTGCACTAGGCAACTGAGTTCCACCCCCAGCGCTCCATATGGTCCCTGAAGTGATCCCTGAGCTCAGAGCCAGGAGTAACCCCTGAACACAGCCAAAACCAAAAAAATCGGGAGGGGGGAAATACCACTAGAATTTAATTTGTGAAGTGCTTTGGGGAAGAGGATTATTTTACCATTAATCCTTCTAATCCTGTAAACAGGGAGTTTGTTGCCCGTTTCCTTGTCTTCTACTTCTTTTAAGAGTGACTTAGTTTTCCTGGTATTACTTTCATCATCTTTGTTGATTCCCGGAGACTCATTTGCTCTGAGTCTTCTTGTGTTAAATGGGGAAGTAGAGGGACTGACTCACTATCTCAAAGGCCTTGCTTTACAGGTCCCTTGGATCAGACTTGTGAATTCTCTACAGACCTCAGAAACTACAGAAATGCCCATTTTCAGGTGAGTGCCAGGAAGTTGTTATGCCAGCAAGGAGCCAAATCAGCCTCTCTGATGTAAAACCTAGCCAGAGGGGCGAGTGGAGGGACAGCCAGGTCTGGCTCGCATTAAGTACCCACCATAGGCCAGGCCTTGGTGAATTTTGCTGACCGTGACAGGGGCCCCAGAGGGCATGTGCAGGGCCAGGGTTGGGGTAGCGTGAAGGAAAGAGCCAGGGCTTGAACCAGCTGAGGCCGGACTTGTAATCACTACATCTCATGTCCGTAGACTGTCCTAACTTGCTTCCTCTGAGAGGTGGTTGGGATCTGCTCTTGGCTCAGCTTCTGACCCACTGAGTAAGAGGAGACCTCGCTGACTCCTTGTCACTGGGCATCACTGCCCATCTCTGAGCTGAGCTGTAGACCAGGTTAGCCCAAAACTTTTAGGGGGCGCTGCTCTGACTCTAGCCACCAGGGGGCGCTGTGGCTTCAGCGGCTTTGCCTCTGGCCAAGAAGCCCTAAGGAATCCTGAATTCCCTCGTTCCTCCCTTTTTTTTTTTTTTTTTTTTTTTTTTTTTTGCTTTTTGGGTCACACCCAGTGATGCACAGGGGTTACTCCTGGTTCATGCACTCAGGAATTACTCCTGGCCATGCTCAGGGGACCATATGGGATGCTGGGAATGGAACCCGAGTCGGCCGCGTGCAAGGCAAACGCGCTACCCGCTGTGCTATTGCTCCAGTCCCAAGGACCATGACTTTGGAAGGTGGAGTCCAGGGCGAGGAGGTGGGCACTGCCTCTGGTCTGCTCCCAGCGAGTGGATGTTTCGTTCCTGTTTGTTATGGTTAAGTGCTGCTCTCTGCGCTGGACCCCACACTGGCCTCTCAGACCCAGAGAAGCACCAGACCTGTGTCTCAGGGGACCCACCCAGCTGCAGCCTCTAAGTGCCTATTGTGGAGGGCGTTTGGATTTAGTGCTCTAACCTCCTGGCATCCTGAGATGGGGTGGGGGTGGGGGACTTCCTTCCCCTGAGGTCCCATAGCTCAGAGACAGCAGCATTGAGCTGTAAACCCACATTTATCCACCCCCAGGAGACCTCTGGCCAGGGTTCGAGGGGTGAATAGACATTCACCAGGAAGGTTGCTGGGCCAGGAGTGTTGGGAAAGAACGCGAATTGCATTTCTCCCACGCTTGAGCTGTCTGGGACCCCAGGTTTCCTCGACGTGAGGGGGGTGGGCCTCTATAGGGTGGTGAGCGTAGAGACAGAGCTGGTGACTGGAGGGGGACAGGGGCCTCCCAGGTGGCTTGCGTGTGCTCACCAACGGTGACGTGCTGCTTCCGCAGCCTCCGCGGGTGTAGAGGACGCGGCTGAGCAGCCATGGAGTGGAACAACGTCACCCAGCAGGCACCGGGCCTGCCCCCCACCACCTGCGTCTACCGGGAGAACTTCAAGCGCCTGCTGCTGACCCCCGTGTACTCGGCGGTGCTGGTGGCCGGCCTGCCGCTGAACGCCTGCGTCATCGCCCAGATCTGTGCATCCCGCCAGGCGCTCACCCGCACGGCCGTCTACACCCTGAACCTGGCCCTGGCTGACCTGCTGTACACCTGCTCCCTGCCGCTGCTCATCTACAACTACGCCCGCGGGGACCACTGGCCCTTCGGGGACCTCACCTGCCGCCTGGTGCGCTTCCTCTTCTACGCCAACCTGCACGGCAGCATCCTCTTCCTCACCTGCATCAGCTTCCAGCGCTACCTGGGCATCTGCCACCCCCTGGCCCCCTGGCACAAGCGGGGGGGCCGCCGGGCCGCCTGGGTAGTGTGTGGGGCCGTGTGGCTGGCGGTGACCGCCCAGTGTCTGCCCACGGCCGTCTTCGCCGCCACGGGCATCCAGCGGAACCGAACCGTCTGCTATGACCTCAGCCCACCCGTGCTGGCCACCCGTTATATGCCTTACGGCATGGCGCTCACCGTGGTCGGCTTCGTGCTGCCCTTCACTGCCCTGCTGGCCTGCTACTGCCGCCTGGCCCGCCGCCTGTGCCGCCAGGACGGCCCCATGGGCCCCGTGGCCCAGGAGCGGCGCGGGAAGGCGGCCCGCATGGCGGTGGTGGTGGCGGCCGTCTTCGCCATCAGCTTCCTGCCTTTCCACGTCACCAAGACGGCCTACTTGGCCGTGCGCTCCACGCCGGGCGTCTCCTGCCCCGTGCTGGAGGCCTTTGCGGCCGCCTACAAAGGCACGCGGCCCTTCGCCAGCGCCAACAGCGTGCTGGACCCCATCCTCTTCTACTTCACCCAGAAGAAGTTCCGCCGGCGGCCACAGGAGCTGCTGCAGAGGCTGACGGCCAAGTGGGAGCGACCGGCTCATTGAGGCCCGATGCCTGGCACCCGGCAGCCATCCATCACGGGTGGGGTCGATCAGAACCCACCCCCCCCTCGGCCCCTAACCACATCGAGAGCTGAGCTCAGCTGGGTGCGGTGAGGTTCCCGCAGGGCCCAGAGTCCCAACACCGACGATTTATTGAGCCTTTTTCTGGCCGAGGGCCTGGGGCACAGAGACAGATGGTGCCATGTGGACTCCCCACTAGGCCCATGCTAGCCATGGAGAGCTGGGTGAGCCATGTACAGCTGCTATCAATATACCTGGCATAGCATGCCCATGAGGAGGGTGATGCTTGGGAGTCAGCAGGCCAGGCCGTGAGGGAAGGTGGGAAGGAGAAAGCGGGGTTGAGATGGGTTTTGAAGGGTGGATACCAGCTCTGGGTAGAGTGGGACGGGGAGATGTTCCATTCCGTCAGCAAAGTTTTACTTAACTCAGAAGAACCTGCCCCAGCGCTGCCCCCGACCCCAGCTCCCAGTTACCAGATATGCAAGCACCAAGGTATAATGTCAGCGCAGGGGCCGAGGGAAGCATGGCTGGGGGAAGGGGATCCAGACAACCATCTTGGCCCAGTTTGAGACGTCAGAAGAGATCTCTGTAGAGGTGGGGCTGAGCCGGGAGAATCCCCAAGGGGATGAGGAGGAAGCCGCTCCCACTGCTCGCTGACCAACTGAGGCAGGAGCCAGGCCTTCCAGCACTTGTCCATTTCCACGAAGCCCTGGGGTGGGGCTGTGCAGAGGCCACTACAGGCAAAGGGGCTGGCAGAACCAAAGCCTTCCCCCCTCCCTTTTTTGGGCCATACCCGGTGATGCTCAGAAGTTCCTCCTGGCTCTGCACTCAGGAATTACTTCTGGTGGGGCTTGGGGGAGTATACGAGACCCTGAGGATCAAACCTGGGTCAGCCACATTCAAGGCAAGCACCATGCTGGCCGTGCTCCAGCCCCCAGAACTGGAGCACTCGAAGCGGGAAGAACAACGTTTCCCTCTCTTCCACCCACCTCTTCTAAGGGCGCCTCTTTCAGGGTGTCTCTGCTCCCAGGGGCATCTCCACTCGCCTCCACACGTGGGGACTTGGTTCTCACGGGGCTTCACTTTAAAAGAAGCCAGCCGCTGAGCCCCAGGAAGCTGCTCTGTGGATAGATCCTGGGGTCAGGTACCCGAGTCTATGCCTTCTGGCGCCATCACCACTGCCCCCAGCTCCACAGTCTGGCCCACAGACCCCTGGGCACCATCACTTACAGAGGAATTGCGACCCTGTCTGATCACTGAGTCTCCAACACTGACAGGAACGGAAGAAGAGAGAGAGGACCAGCTCTGACCCTGTGGTGGAGCGCCAGTACCTCGGGGAGGGCATTTGTCTTGCATGTAGTGGCCCTGGGCTCTATCCCCAGCATCCATGGTGACCACCCAGTACCGCCAGGAATAATTCCTGAGCCTTGCTGGGTGTGGCCCAAAATACAAAACAACAACCCAAAAAGAGCTCTAAGGTCCACTTTTAGGGGTCCCCAGGAACCAGTGTGCATTTGTAGCCGCCAAGGAGGGGGGCCCCAGGCCCAGCACCCTTGTGAGGGGACTAGCAGTGTGAACCGAAGGGACCCTTGATTCTCCGCCCCCCCCCCCCACAGGCTATCGACATGGGGGGGAGGGCGTGAGAAGACAGACGGGTGCTTATTCCCTACTCGATGCCACGCCCCACAGGTCAGATGGTGCCCCTCTCCCCTTTCCTTCTTGTTCTGAGCCCAAAAACCTTGGTTGCCCCATCGGGTGATGGGGAAAAGAAGGCACAGGGTCATGGCCACAGCCCAGGCTGAGCCCTGTAGGCTCTCGGATGAAGGTTCCAGCAGTCAGCCAAGAACTATGATGCTGCGGGTACTTCTCCATGAAGGGGGAAAGCCCCTTCCCAGCCTGCCTTGGGGAGCAGAATGGCCTAGAGGCTGCAAACTGGAGTCTCAGGCACCCGGAGGAGTGAGTGACCCGCCCAACCGCTTACTAATCATGCTGCTCTGGGCTCATTTTGTAACCTTTTCATGCCTTAACTTCCCTGATGGTAAAATGGGAACAATAATAATAATAATAATAGCTATTTTGTAAAGTTGTCGTGATTATTACATCAATACGGTACAAAGCATGGGGAACAAAGTGGGACCATAATCTGCAGGGCTTGGGGGGCACACGATCTCCTCAGCGCCTGTCTCTAAGAACAGGCATAAAGAGGTTTCAAAAACAAGGGGCTTTGTAAGAGCGCGGTGTGCCTTGCACGCAGCCAACCTGGATTCCATCCCTGGCATCCCATATGGTCCCCCCAGCACTGCCAGGAGTGAGTCCTGAGTGCAGAGCCAGGAGTAAGCCCTCAGCATTGCAGGTGTGACCCCAAGACAAAAACAAAACAGAAAATAAACGCATTGTACCAATTTCCTTTCCTCCCTCACTCCCTCACTTGAAAGGCGGCCCAAGAAACAAAAAGCTCAGAACACTTTTTGAAAACAAGAGCCCGAATCTCTGGGCCCCATCTGTTCTCCTGAGAAGGAAAGAACCATTTAGTGCACACCCATCTTTGGGACTTCAAGTACTGCTTGGGGAGGCTGAGTTCCTCCCCCCTCCAGCCTCTTTCCTTTAGTCTCTTCCCCACCAACCACCTTCCCCTCCTCACGCTCACCCGGAGCACACTTGGGGTGGGGGTGGGTTGTCGGGACTTCCCCTGGGGACATCTGCTTGTTGGGGTGAGACACACGGGGACGGGGATGGGGCATGTGGGGGTGGAGTGTGGTGGGGATGGGGGCCCTAGCCAGCTGAAAGGGGTCCAGGCTGGGTCTTAACGGTACTCCAGCAGGAGGGGAGAGGCCCAGGGTGTTGCTGGTACGAGAGCCGCGCAGGCAAACCCGGGCAGCGGATAGAGGGAAGGATGGAAGGACTGAGCCCTGAAGTGAGGCTGGAGGACGCTAAATGCCACAGGGACGCCTGCGGTGACCGTGACTGGAGACTGCAACACACTCTCACAGAATCCTCATGATGTCACCTACGGTGGGAGCAGAAACAGATATGCCGCGGGACTTGCCAAGGTCCCACGCAACCTCCTTCATCCCACCCTGCCCTCCGTTCCCTTCTGCATCCGGCTTCCTTTGTGGTTTAGACCCCAGGAAAGGCGTGACAAGAGACAGCCAAGTGCTCAGCAACCGCAGCTCTCAAGGCCCGGGTAGCTGGGATACGAGGGGTATCAAGCAGCTGAGTGGGAGCAGGGAGGTCGGCTTGTGGGAGGGAGGGGGTGTCCGTCCTTGGCCCGTCTGTCCTCCTAGTTGCTGACAGCAGGGACCTTGTGGCGGGAGCAGCATCTTGGACTAAGAGGACCAGGTGCTTTCCACAGCTCATGGGACAAACCCTGAAAGTGGACCTGGTCTCCCATCACTGCCGTCGGGGCTGAACCTGGACTCTCTTTTGAGAGAGAGGTGAGTGTATAGAGTCCGGAGCGATAGCACAGTGGGGAGGGCATTTGCCTTGCACACGGATGACCCAGGCACCCCATATGGTCCCTGAAGCACCGCCAGGAGTGATCCCTGAGTGCAGAGGTAGGAGTAAGCTCTGAGCACTGCTAAAAACCAATAATAAACAAACAAAAACAAGGTTTGGAGACACCGTGGGGGCTTCCTGAAAGAGTGGCCCCGAAGCAGCTTCCAAGCAACTGGGTAGGTGGGTTTCCGAAGGGATAAGAGTTTTCTAGAAACCTAGCCTTAGGACAGTGAGGCAAGCTGCTGGGGTCTGCAGAGTGGAGACATGAGGGGCCCAGCAAGTGGGTGAGTAAGGGGGAGTGGACGTGGGGAGGAAAGGAGAAAGAAGCGTCCCTGGGGGCCAACCTTGGGAAGGTGCTGTTGGCACCTGGGGTACTGGCTGTTGGTCACTAAGGCAGGGTAAGGCCAAGGGTGGGGGCGCCCAGGAGTGTTGGGAGAACCCCTCTCCAATCAGGGAAGGCCAGCGGACATTGGCTCTGTCCTAGCCAGCTCCACCCTCCCGCCTTCATTTGTTCAACAATTATTATTTTGTGCTGGGTCCACACCGTCCCGAGAGTAGTGGGGGCTACAGCAAAGAGACACACAGTTCATCCAGGAAGCGTTTATTGAACCCCTGCTGTATGCCAGTCCTCAGACCCCTAGCCATGGGTCTCTCCCTACCCTCTGAGAGCTCTTAGGCTGATAGAGGACAATAATAATCTAAAACAAAACAAAACAACAACAGCAAACTGTACACCTGAATCTTTACAGCTCCCTGGAACATAAGGGGGTTGGAGGTGAGGGGCGGGATCTGGAGACTCTCTTTAATTAGACAAGAAGTAGAGGAGAAATGTCCAGAAAATGGGCTGGAGCGATAGCCCAGCAGGTAGGGCATCTGCCTTGCACGCAGCAGACCCAGGTTCGATTCCCAGCATCCCCTATGGTCCCCTGAGCACCTCCAGGAGTAATTCCTGAGTGCAGAGCCAGGAATGACCCCTGTGCATTGCCGGGTGTGACCCAGAAAGCAAAAAAAAAAAAGACAGAAGAGAAGCATGGAGCATTTTTTGCTTGTTTGTTTTGGGTTACACCTGGCAGTGCTCAGGGATCACTCCTAGCATGTGGGATTCCGGGGCTTAAACACAGGTCGGCCGCATGCAAGACAAAAGCCCTACCCGCTGTACTATTGCTCCAGCCCCCCAAGCTTGACGATGGGAGAAGGTTTCTCTGCTGAGGCGCTCTGAAGGCACAGCTAGCTCAGCGGGGAGGGCCTCACTGATTGGCGCTTGGAACACTACCCTCCCTTTCCTTGAGCTCCCAGCTAGTAAAATAGTGACAATTCTGGCTCTCGGCCACTAGGGGAATTGAACAGAAAAATCAGGGCAGAATGTTCACAAACTACCAGCAGTATCCTAACCCAGAAGCAGCAGAGGGAAGGGGTACACACTGGTATGATCCATAAACAAAGGAGGGGGCTGACCCCGCGGCCTCCGTGCAGGTTTTCTGTGCTCTACCTGTGCCCCTGGACGCCCGCACGGACCCTGGAGCACAGCTGATCTGCAAACAGCCAAATGCCCCTCAGCATGTGCGTGGGTGACACGCTGTAACGCCCACACAGCCAGCACCCGCCACACAGATAAAAGTGAGCACCCTAGTGTTAAGTAAGGACCCGAGATACAGCACAGCGGGTAGGGCGCTTGCCTTGCATGTGGTCTACCTGGGTTTGATCCCAACACCTCCTGAGCGTGCCAGGAGTGATCCCTGAGTGCAGAGTCAGGAGTAAGCCTGAGCACCATTGGATGTGACCCGAACACAAGCATAAAACCAAACAAACATAAGGTTTCGTAGAAAGAATTCCAGGGACTGGGGTTGGAGGAGAATACAGGCGTTCAGACACTTGATTTGCGTGTGACTGCAGCGGTTGTAACCCCAGCTTGAATCCCTGGCACCACATAAGGCCCCCTGGGCATCACCAGGGATGACTCATGAGCACAAAGCTAGGAATATCCCAGGAGCACCGCAGGGTATGGCCGGACCTCCCTCTTCCCCCAAATAACCACAGCTTCCCCACGAGTTGGAAGAAAATTCCAGAGAAGCCAGCCTGACTTCCAACAGGCAGAGAGAGAGGTGCCCGTGCAGAAGCTTGGAACTGTACCCCTTTCATTTCCAGTGAGGCGGTGATTTCCCCAAGGGCCCAGAGCCCGGCACAGGGGAGAGAGGCCCTCTCTGGGCCTGGCTGAGCTCTCTCCCTCCCTCAGTTTCCCTGTGTGGCGGGACAGGCGGGATGATTGTTGGAGGCAGAGACTAGGTTGACGTGAGGAACTTAGAGGGGCTAGTGGAACTTAAAGGGGAGCCTTCTCCTGACAGCCACTTCCCACAACCCAAGGGCGGGGGGTAGCACGCAGGCTGTGGGGGCCTGGCTGGACCCTCCCTGTTGCTCATGCGATGGCTGGACAGTCCCTGTGTGTCACCCACCCCATGCCCCTCCAGATTCAGCCTCCTCCCATCGCACTGCCTGCCTCACCTGGCCCAGACCAATGCTCTTGGGTTGAAGGAAGTTGAGTCAGACCAGCTCTCTTCTGTGAGGAAAGAGAATGCTGGGGGAGCAAAGGCAAGGGAAACACCCTTCTTCAGCAGTGACTGGGGCAGAGAAAGTTGTGAGGAGGAGCTTGAGGTGTGCAGCTGCCCAGAAACGTGAGCTTGAGTCACAGCAGGAGCTGCAGTGCCCTGACCCAGGCAGTGGTGGAAGTCAGCTCTTTGGGACTGACACAGGAGCAACAGAATCACCCTCCAAGGTTGATTCAAGAATTAAACTGTCCTCGGGTCTGGACTGATAGTACGGCGGGTAGGGCGTTTGCCTTGCACGTGGCCGACCCGGGTTCGATCCCCAGCATCCCATATGGTCCCCGAGCACCGCCAGGGGTAATTCCTGAGTGCAGAGCCAGGAGTAACCCCTGTGCATCACCGGGTATGACCCAAAAGAAAAAAAAAAAGAATTAAACTGTCTTTCAGAAAGCAATCCTGGGCTGCAGAGATAGTATAGTGGATAGGACACTTGCCTTGAAGGATCTCCTGCACTGCATATGAGTCCTGCCAGGATCCCAGAGCACAGAGCCAGGAGTAGCTCCTGAGGGAGTAACACCCACCCTGCAACCAAGATGTAATACAACAATAAAAAAAAAAAGCAGTGTTACCCATACAGCCATACTCTAAATGACCACTCCTACATTCAGGTGTGTGGGAGTTAGCCTGGCTTGAGTCGGAGCTGCTTGAAGGGGCCCACACCTTTCCTGCCTGCAGGATATGATGTGATTTTGGATTTCGGTGATAAGTTGGGGGAGAGAGAGTGGGATGGAGGGAGGGAAGGAAGGAGAGAGAAAGACAGAGGGAGAGACAGAGAGAGATCTAATGAAGTACTTTGGTCAGCTCAGGGGCCACACCTAGCAGGGATTCAGTGCGCCTTATGGGTGTCAGAGATTGAACCCAGGTCAGTAAGGCAAGTGCCCTACCTGCTGTACTATCAATCCAGCCCCGGCCCCAGGAAACGACTGATTGGAAATGAAGGAGTGAAGATTTCCAGCGATGTTCAGGGGTTACTCCTGGCTCCGTATTCAGGGATCCTTCCTGGCACCCACACTGTGGGGTGCGGGGAATCGAACCACGGTCGCAGCGTGCAAGACAAACCCCCTTCCCGGCTGCACTCCCGCTCCAGTCTTTTTACCGGTGCTGGGTTCCTGGGCTTGGGGGCGGTCGGTGAGAGTGAGTGAGCGAACCCAGCCGGGAGAGGGCGCAAGAACCGCGTGCCCGGGAGCGCGGGGGACCCGGGGCGGGCCGCAGGGGCGGAGTCCGAGGCGCGGGGCCGGCGGGGGCGGGGCCGTGGGCGGGGCCTCTGGCGCGGCGGGGGCCGGGGCCGGGGGCGTGGCCTGGGCGCCGTGCGCGCCCGCGGCTCCCTCCCGCTGGCGGCGGTCCCGCCCTTTTCCCCGGGCAGGTACCGTGCGTGTCTGCGTGTTCCTGAGTGTCGGCGTGTACCGGTGTGCAGGGTCCGCGGCTGCCATCGCGGGCGCTTGCGCGCGAGAGCAGCAGCGTCCCGTGCAGGGGCTCCGCCCGGCCCGCGAGTCGGGCGGTGGGGTGGGGGTGCTGGGGCTGAGCGCTTCCTGGGATCCGGCCGGGCCCCGGGGAGGCGTCTCGGCGCGCGGGGTCGCGGCTCTCGCCCCCGCGCTCCGGCGAGGCCCCTTTCTCAGCCCTTCGACTCCTCCCCGATTTCCTCCTCCCCCCCCCCCGCCCCTCCCGCGGTTCCCCGCCGAGCGCTCGCCCGGAGCCCACCCCCTCTTTGGGGCGCGAGGCCCCGCCCCCCGCCCCCTTTCCTCCGCCACAAAGTTTATTTGCAACAAAAGGGAGCGAGAGCGGCGCGCGGCCGAGCGGGAGGGAGCGGAGCGGAGCGGGCGCGGGCGGGCGGGCGCGGAGCCGGGGAGCCGGTGCTGGCTGGGACCCTGCCCGGGCCGGAGCGGGCCGCGATGCCGCGGGTCGCCCCGCGGGCCGCACTGGGGAGGGCGGGGCGGCGCGCGATGGAGCCCGAGACTTGAGCGGCGGCCGCGCCGTCGGGCGGGCCCGGGGCGCGGGGCTTCGCGGCGGGCCGGCGCGGGGGCGGGTGGGGGGGCTCGGCCGCGGCCGCGCGAGGCCGGCCCCCCCGGAGGGAGGGCGGCCGCCGCGATGGCGGACGGGGCGCCCCGGCCCCCGCTCGCCCGCAGCGTCTCCTTCAAGCTGCTGGAGCGCTGGAGCGGCGCGTCGGGGCCGCGGGAGGAGGCCCCCGACACGCCCGGGCCGCGGCGCCGCGCCGCGTGCCGGCCGCCGCCGTCCCGGCGCGTGTCCAAGCTGGCGTCGGGGCCCGCGCCGCGCAGCCTCTCGCCGTCCGTGCGCCAGCTCTCCCGGCGCTTCGACGGCCGCGTCTCCCCGGGGCCCGCCCAGGAGGCGGCCGAGGGCGCGGCGCGCGGGGCCTGGCCCAGCGTCACGGAGATGCGCAAGCTCTTCGGGGGCTCCCGGCGGCCCGCCGGGTCGCCCGGCCCGGACGGGGCGGCGTGGGAGCCCCCGGCCCGCGAGCCCCGCGAGCCGCGGCAGCCCCCTCCGCCCCCTCCGCGGACCTGCTTCCCCCTGGCGGGGCTGCGCGCGGCGCGGCCGCTGCCGGACCCGGGGACGGAGGGGAGGAGGTGGCGGCGGCAGCAGCAGCAGCAGCAGCAGCAGCAGGAGCGGGCGCAGCGTCCGGAGGATGGTTTACATTCTTGGCATAACTTCTCCCAACCGCAGGCCGGGGCCCGGGCCTCCTGCTCCTCCTCCTCCTGCTCCATCGCCTCCTCCTATCCTGTCAGCCGCAGCCGGCCTGCCAGCACCAGCGAGGAGGAAGTGGAGGGCCCGCCGCCGCCGCCGCCACCGCCGTCCGGGTCGCAGAGCCCGGCCCCCCGCGGCGACCCCTGCTCGGGCAGTGACGAGGACCGCGACGGTGAGCGCAGCCACCGCGGCGGAGGGAGGCCCGGAGCCAGGCCCGGAGGCTCCCCTTCGGATCAGGACTGTAGGCCGGACAGTTATGGGTTAAATCTGGGCGCCATGGACTCGGTAGGTGGTGTGGGGGTGCGGAGCCCTGAGCCCCCGGCCTCCCCCAGAGCCTCGGGTGGTGAGGAAGGCGCCCAGGAATGGGCCTCCGGCTCGCCTCCCTGTGGGCCATGTGCCCAGGAGGGACTTCGGCCCTTGTCGGACTCGGTCGGGGGAGCGTTCAGGGTGGCCAAAGTGAGTTTCCCCGCGTACCTGGCCAGCCCAGGGGGCTCCCGGGGCAGCAGCCGTTATTCCAGCACGGAGACGCTCAAGGATGAGGACTTGTGGGCCAGCCGGGGCTCAGGGGGCTGGGGCGTGTATCGGTCCCCTAGCTTTGGAGCCGGGGAAGGCCTCCTCCTGCGGGCCCAGGCTCGGACTCGCAGCAAAGGGCTGGTGGGCACCTCCAGGGTCCTGAGAGATGGTGGCCTGGAGCTGGACAAGAGCCGGCAGCGCAAGTCCCTGTCCAACCCAGACATCGCCTCCGAGACCCTCACACTGCTCAGCTTCCTGCGCTCGGACCTCTCCGAGCTGAGGGTCCGCAAGCCTGGGGGGCTGCCCGGGGACACCAGCAGCAGCCTCTCAGGTGGCAGAGCCTCACCAGCTGTAGGTAGCCCCGTGGGACCCCTGGGGCCCATCTCCCCGCCAGCGCCAGCATCCCCGGGTGGACGCCCCACCCTCAAGGACCTGACGGCCACCCTGCGGCGAGCTAAGTCCTTTACCTGCTCGGAGAAGCCCGTGGCCCACCGCATCCCCCGCACCAGTGCCCTGAAACCCAGCTCCTCTGAGCTCCTGCTGGCTGGCATGGGGGCCGAGGAGGACCCCCTGCCCCATATCATCCAGGACCAGTATGTGCAGGAAGCCCGGCAGGTGTTCGAGAAGATCCAGCGCATGGGTGCCCAACAGGACGAGGGCAGCGAGGCGCCCCTGGGGAGCCCGGATTGGGCCTCCGAGGGGACCCAGGGTCAGCGGTCTCAGGAGGAGCTCTCGGGCCCCGAGTCCAGCCTGACAGATGAGGGCATTGGGACTGACCCCGAGCCTCCCATTTCAGCCTTTTCCAGCTTGGGGAGCACGGGTGTGTGGCGACCTCTCTCCTCATCCTCAGCCCCACGGAACCACCATGGGCCTAGCGCTGAAGACGGTCTGGGGGCATGGGCCCTGGTATCCCCCGACGCCCCTCCCACACCGGGTGCCCTCCGCCGGAGACGCAAAGTCCCCCCTTCGGGTCCCGGTGGGACAGAACTGAGCAACGGGGAGGCTGGGGAGGCCTATAGGTCCCTCAGTGACCCCATACCCCAGCGCCACCGGGCAGCTGCCTCCGAGGAGGCCTCGGGATTCTCTGTGGACAGCAACCTGCTGGGTTCTCTGAGCCCCAAGACTGGGCTTCCAGTGGCCCCGGAGGTGGATGAGGGCTTGACCGGTGGCCACAGTGACTGGTCTGTGGGCAGTGAAGAGAGCAAGGGCTACCAGGAGGTCATTCAGAGCATCGTTCAGGGACCCAGTGCCTTGGGGCGAGTGGTGGACGATAGAGCAGCTGGCAAAGCCCCCAAGAAGAAATCTCTGAGTGACCCCAGCCGGCGTGGGGAGCTCGCTGGGCCGGAATTCAAGGGCCCTGGAGGGGAGCCCATCCGAGAGGTGGAGCCGGCACTGCCCCCGTCCAGCAGTGAGCCCCTCCTTGCTGAGCGGCCAGCGGAGCCCGAAGAGCCCAGTCCTGCCAGGGGCCGGGCACAGTCTGAGAGGGTGCTTGGGGCCCCGCCCGCCCCTGCCGCCACCCCTGGTGACTTCCACCTCGACCCTAAGCTGGCTGACGTCCTGTCCCCAAGGCTTCTCCGCCGCGGCTCCAAGAAGCGGCCAGCCCGGAGCAGTCATCAGGAGGTCCCGAGGGAGGGCCAGGACCACTCCGGCGGCCTCTCTCAGGCCCGACCCGGCTCCAAGCACGTCCGCCATGCCAGCGTGCCCGCCACCTTCATGCCCATCGTGGTGCCCGAGCCTCCCACTTCCACCGGCCCTCCGGTGGCCGTGCCAGAGCCCGTGGGCCGCCCGGCCAGAGCCCGCCCCATGGTACAGGTCCCCTCGCTGGAGGACGTCACGAAGCAGTACATGCTGACCCTCCACGCCGGGGAGACGCCCACACCCGTGGATGTGCCCACTTTGACTCCGGTTGTGCCGCCCTCTGCAGAGACCAAGCCCCCCGAGGCCACCCGGGCTCCGGACGAGCCCACCCCAGCCAGCAAGTGCTGCAGCAAGCCCCAAGTGGTGAGTTCTTTGGGGTGGGACTGGAGGAGGGCCTTGGGCACTGACCCTGGTGCCCCTGGAGTAAGCGCCCGCCTCTGAGGGCTCTTCTCTGGCCAAGGAGGTTCCAGGCGGGTTGTGAGAGTGTTAATGGCCTGGGGCGCCCATCTCTTCATGCCCCAGCGGCGACCGACTTTCAAAGCTAATCTTGCAAGGGGTTCTGGTCCGCTCCTAAGTGTTCTGGGTAATACTTCCAAAAGGTTCTTAATCTAGTCGCTGTTTGTCAGGGACAGGCCTCCACATTTCCTAAATGACTCTTGGTTACAAATACTCTAAGAGATGTGAGAGGGATAGAACTTTCTGGAACCATGCTGCCCTATTAGCCAGACCCCTTGTAGGCGATTTGGGTTTGGGTTCACGGATGACATGGGTTTGGGTCTTCTTCATGTGGCCTGAGTCTGGAAAATGTGGCAGAGCATGGGGAGGAGGGTTTATAGCTGAACTCAGGGATGAGCCTGGGGAGGAGGGTTCGTGACAGATCAGGGAGGAGGGTTCGTGGCTGACCTTGGGGAGGAGGGTTCGTGGCTGACCTTGGGGAGGAGGGTTCATGACTGAGCTGGGGAGGAGGGTTCGTGGCTGAGCCTGGGGAAGAGGGTGCGTGGATTGTGCTGTGGGAGCCGCACCTGGGCAGTTCCTCCCCTCCTAAGAGCCTGGGTTCACAAGTGAGGTGGTGCTGGGCTGGTTGGTGGGAGTCCGTGGAGTTGGGGCGTTCCTGGGGCCTGAGCTCTGTTGCTTCTTAGGATGGGCTCGGATGGGAATGCAGGGTCCCGAGGTGCTCCTGAAGCCCAGCCACCAGGACCTCTGGGGACATTGGCCACCTGTGTCCTGCCCTGGTACCTTCTCCCCCACTGCCCACCTCCTGGCTTCTCTTGAGGTGCTGTCGGCAAGACTCCATGCCCTGGAATATTAGCTCTTCTTTTTCGCTTGTTTACTTGTTTGGCTTTTGTTTGGGGGTCACACCCAGCAGTGCTCAAGGCTGCTCCTGGGCTCTCTGTGCTCAGGAATCACTCCTGGTGGGTTCAGGGGACTCTATGGGGTGCCAGGGATCGAACCTGGGTTGGCTGCTTGCAAAGCAAGTGCCCTCCCTGCTGTCGTGTACGTCCAGATCTGACCCAGAATCTTGCTCTTCCTGATTCCCCCTTCTCCCTCTGGCTGTAGCTGCCCCTGGAGTTTGGACCGTGGTTCTGCTGGTTTCTGGGCTCATGACTCCCTGGCGCCTAATGAGGTGCTGGGTTTTCGGGGACACGGGCTGTGCGTGGCTGGCCTGAGGCGACTCCAGCCCAGGAGCCTGGGTGGGAGCCGGGTTCATTTGTCAGCCTGGTCCCAGTGCTCTTGGGCCCATGCGGCCGCTCCCTTCTCTGCTCTGTTGTTGCCATCCCGGCCCCATCCCCGTGGCCCCCTGCCCCCAGTCTGGGCCTGTGTCCTGCACAGAGTCCACCGATGGGTCACTGTGGGAGAGGGGCCAGCCTGTATGTCCAGGGGAGCCCGTAGGACACCCCAGGGAGTGAGCAGGGGAGAGGGGGGTCCTCCATACTGCCGTGCCCTATCATTATCTCCTCTTCGTGCTCAGAAGGCTAAATTAGGGGTGAACCAAGCTCCTGGGGGAGTGTGGGGGGGGTGGGCCGCTTCTAAGAAAAGCCCTTGAGATGGGGGAGGAGGGGCGCGGCTGAATTTTGCTGAATCCAGCTCCCAACTCCCTTCTCCTCTGGACTGTCCGACCCCTGGGGACCTGTCTGCCCCAGCCTGGGCTGGACTCAGCCCTCCTCGCCCCTCCCCCCTGTTGGGGGCGGGGGGAGAACCTGGAGGGTCTGTCCCCTGAAGATGGAGGTCTGGGCTACGGCTCCCGGCTCTTTCCCGGGTGGCCTGTCTGAACACTCCGTGCTCTTGCCTCGCTTTCTCCTTCTGTCCCCCTGGGAGGGGGAGGGGAGGGGGCAGCGTGCTCAAGGTCTCCGCGGGCCCCCCTCATCCCCCCCTTCCAGGCCAGCATGGGGCTGGATGCGGGGTCTCAGCAGGCCCCCAGGGACGGGAACAGGCCCAGGAGAGACTCTTCAGCCCCCGCTGTCCTCCCACTCGGGAAGCCCGGAAGTTCTCCCATCTGCTCGCCCGCGCCCTCCTGCTGTCCCCTTCCTCCCGACTCCAGGAAGATGGGTGCAGCCCCCCCCCTCCGGCTGGCCTCCCCGGATACAGTGTTCCCTTGTTTCAGGCCGCCCGGTCACACTCCCCGCCGTGGGTGGAGACGGGGTGTGGGCTCCCAGAAGGGCCGGAGAGCAGCGCCCGCCGCGCTTTGCTGAGGAGGCAGAAACCAATGTGAACCCGCCAGGGGCCGCCCGGAAGGCCCCTGACCTGCCCCCGGCCCTCGGCTGGACACGCTCTGCCCCATGGTTGGGAAGCTGGGACACAGGTGCCCTGAGGTCTGGACAGTCCTGGGCCTGGGGTTTCGTTTACGATCGTGACCCCTCCCCCTTCCCCTGCCCCCCCCCCCTTACTGGGGACTGGGGGACGGAGCTCGGCCTGGCCAGGCCTGTCTCGCATGGCTCTCCCCACCCTACCGCTTAGCTGCTCTGTCTGGCCTGCGTGGTTGGAGCCGCTGGTCTTTGAGGAGCTGTTGGCAGGCCTCGGCCTGCAGGCGGCTGAGGCTGGTATGGGGGGCGGCGGGACCGGGCAGGAGGGGAGGAGGCCTGGGCACACGGCCTGTGTTGGCGGGGGAGGGCCGTGTGGCCCCCCTCCCTCGAGCTCGGGGTGTCCGGCACATCTCCCACGCCAAGACCCCCCCACCCCGGCCTGAACGTGCAGTTTCCTAGCGCCTGTGGGCCCCTGAAGACCACGGGACTGTGTGGGGGTGACTGTGGACACACCCTTCACCCCTCCGCCCTCCACGCTGCGGAATTCTCAAGCTCCCAGCCCATTTCGCCAGTGGGACTGACCCTCCCTCCTGGGATGGGGGGGGGGGGGGCAGTCGGAGGGCCCGCACACCCTTGACAGCCTGAGCACCTCATGTGCTGCTTATTCGACCTGTCGAGGGCTGCAAGGCAGGAGCCCTGGGACTTAGAAGTGAGGAGAGTCAGCATCTAGGGAAGCCCCCGGGCCCAAACCCCAGCCCTGCCCAGCCCTGCCCAGCCCAGCCCAGCCCAGCCCAGCCCAGCCCATCCCACCCCACACTCCACGGCTGGTCCTTGTCTGTCCCTTCCTTTCTTCTCTGCCTCCCCTTGGCCTGGGATCCACGGGGGTGGGGGTACCACTTTTCCCTCCTTGGCGCTCTGCTATGATTTTTCCATGGAAACTGGTTCTGGGAGGGGAGGCGATTAGGACATTTGGAATCCTGAGCAGTACCAAATATCTATAATTAAATGTCTTGTCACCCAGCAGGAGGACGGGAGGGAGGGGGGCAGGAAGGGCACTCTCCCTTTCCTCTCCTATCCCCTCCCCTCCCCTCGTGTTCCCAAGGGCCCTGGGCTGCAGGGGTTGGTGGGTCGGGGGGGATGGGGACATGGATGGTCCAAGGACAAATCCACGCGCCCCAGACAAATCCACACGCCACGGCTGTGTTGGGGGGTGAACCCTGAGTTGAGTCTGACATTTTCCAACCCCGCGTTTCCGGGAGCAGCTGGGTTGGGGCTGGAGGCTGCTGCTAATCCTGTCCCAGCCCCCTCCCACCGCGGGCCTTGCCCCCTCCTGCTTCCCTCCCATCTGGGATCTCTCTGGCTCGGCTCCGCAGCAGAGATGGGGGAGGCACCCCCAGGAGGCTTAGCGTGCAGCAGCAGTCTGGGAAGGGCCTTAGATATTGGGGGGCTGGGAGGGACGTTTCCCCGAAGGGCAAACCTGGCCTGGAAAGCTGCAGGAGTTTGGACGGCGGAAAAGAGGGCTGGGAGGTGGGAAGGAGCAGGCGGGCTCAGGGCAGCGGGTGTTGTGGTCACGGTTGACCCTGCAGGGCAGGGCCTTGCTTTGTTGTCTTCAGCAAATACGGAGGCGCTCGGGTCCTCTCAGCCCACAGATACCGTAGCCAGCAAGGCAAGGCTGCCCCTCTGGTAGGGGGCCGCAGGTGAGGCCTGTGAGGCAGGAGCCGGGAGAGGTCGGATGAACGCTGGACATCGGCTAGGAGGGTCGCTATTTTATTTTAACTTCTTTTTTTAAAAAAGTGTTTTGGCCACACCTGGCTTTGCACAGGGGTTACTCCTGGCTCTGCACTCAGGAATCACTCCTGGTGAGCTCAGAGGACCCTATGGGATGCCGGGGGATCCAATCCAGGCCGGACGCATGCAAGGCAAGTGCCCTACTAGCTGTACTGTCTCTCTTTCCCTGTTTTAACTTTTTTTTTCTTTTTGGGTCACATCCGGCCATGCACAAGGGTTACCCCTTGCTCTGCACTCAGGAATGAGTCCTGGCGATGCTCAGGGAACCGAATGGGATGCCGGGGATCGAACCCGGGTCGGCCCCGTGCAAGGCAAACGCCCTACCCACTATGCTATCGCTCCAGCCCCTGTTTTAACTTTTTTCATTTTTTTGTTTTGTTTTGGGGTCACACATGCCTGTGCTCAGGAATTACTCCTGGCGGGTCTGTGTTGGCCATGTGCGCTACCCCTTATACTATCACTCCCGCCCCTTAACTTTTTTTTTTTTAATTGAGATTCTGTGATCTATGATACTGATCCCGTGCGCAGGATTCCAACACCTACCCCATCACCTGTGTTCCTACCTCCTCCCTCAAGGACCCCAACGCCCCTCCTTTTCCAGAATCCCCCCCCCCACCACCACCACCAACCACCACCAACTCAGTTGGGCTCAGGTCTCCCTCTGTGTTGCCTTTGGCTCTTTTTTGCTGCCTTGCCGTGTGTCTTTAAGCCCACATTTGGGAGGGATCATTCTGTATCCGAGGGGCACTATTTTAGAAGGTGAGATTTGAGCAGAACCCCACGGGGGAACATTCGGGGCCGCCTCTGCAGTAACCTGGCCACCGGCTGTGGTCC